AAAAAAAAAAAAAAAAAAAACTATAAGAGGATAGACTCAAGATCAATGATTAATAAATTCTTCTCCACATCTCTAGGGTTGCTGGAAGGTTGTGGGATTAAAGAACAAAAATCTTTGATAAAAAGTTTGCTGCAGCCCTAGGACTGGAGAGTAAGAGGAAAGTTGAAAACTCAGCTGTAAGCTCAAGGGCTTATCATCTAGTCATGGGAGCTTCCTTTAAGGTTGTACATTACTACCTCATCCTTCACTTGGCTTGTTTTAAAGCAGAGTGGACATATAGGAAATTAAACTATGGAGGGATTATTGCACCATAATGCCAATCCACATCCTTGAAATGACATAGACAAACAAAAAGACTTGAAAACCATATAAGGAAGAAACTTGAAATGACAGACAAACAAAAAGACTTGAAAACCATATAAGGAAGAAACTTGAAATGACAGACAAACAAAAAGACTTGAAAACCATATAAGGAAGAAACTAGGAGACATTTGAAACTCCAGGGCAGTGTGAGTATGGAGATTCCACTCAAACCAACACCATAGCTAAACAGCAACCACATATTCTGTATACACATAATCAGATCATATGCTAACATGATAGAAAAATCATACTACCAAGCCTAAAGTAGCTCCCACATGGCCACACCACTTCTTTTATAGTCATCAGCCAAAGACTAACATAAAAGAAATTGAATGCAAGCTGAATGACATGCATGTATATTTATATGCTTCTAATGATGATTAATGTTATAAACAGATTGTGTTGTGCATGATCTTGTATATATGTAGGTGAGTGTTATGTTTTGGTGTAACATGTTATGGATCCAATGAGAATAGTGGACCTCTACGCATGCAGTAGGCATGTACTGAGACTAGCTTGAATACAAGAGTGTGAATACACATACACTAGTGGACAGCAGACTCCATAGCCATTTGGTTTATACTAATTGATTGTTCTTTTTGTTTATGTTTGCACTCTCTTTGTTTAAGTCTCATTTATATTAAGACTAATCCTGCATGCTATAACTAATTATGAAATGCAGTAAAACTTATTTTGTTGATGTACACAATGTCATTTTTAACTTCTGTTTATGCCTAATTTTGTTATGAAATACTCATGCTAACCGTCATGACTTGGTCTGTACATTGCTAATTATCTAAATTATGCCTAAGTGAAATCTGTCACAAGCGTTTCTATTGCTCTTCTAAATTCAGTAGATTGTTTTTAGCATGTATTAAAATAGACTAATAACTATAAATGGCTCAGTTATAGCTTGAAGCCAAGCTCACGGTTGTGTTAAAGTACAAGCTAGCTTAACTAGACTGTGTTCTCTTTCAAGAACTTACATACATATATTTATAGCTATATGTGATTCCAAATTCATGCTTTAGCTTATCTAATTACTGTTATTCTAGCGCTAAGCTTTTCCTGTGAACTACTCTCATTTTAAATGCTAAACACTACATACCAAAGTTTCCTATAAAAGCCCTATGAATGCTAGCTACCCTGTTTTTATCAAATTACTAGTGTTAACTATGCCTTCGCAAGGTCAATTTAAAAATCTTCCTTACTTAAGTTACAAAACATTCTGATGGAATTTTAAATCCATTTGGATTGAATATATCCATACTGAGGTTTTATTAGTCAC